AGTGATCAGGATTTCTTTATTCACATTATGATTGCTAATACCAATGTATTTTATTGATATTAGCAACCATTTTTACTGAAGGAAACTGATTCATTTAGTCTTTTGTTGTGATTAGCTGTGATTGGGCAAAGCTCATCACATGGTACATATGGGCTGCGATTGGCCTTGCCTCTACCAAGTGACCGCTGTGACCAATCACAGCTAACAACACAATTGTATACAAGGATGGCATGAAAGCAAGCCATCCATTGTATACAATTGTCATGTGATTTGCTGTGATTGGTCACATCAGTCACATGACACTGACAGCGGGCTGGTGTAGTGATCTGTCATCGGCTGTGTCCCGTGGACACAGCTGGTGACAGATTGCACTGTTGCGCGCAGGGGCGGACTGACCATATGGAAACTTGGGCACTGCCCGAGGGTCCGGGGTCAGTAGGGGGCCCCATGAGATGCCCCTGGTACCTTTTTCATAGGCGTTTTTGAGTTTGGGCAAGGACACAGGGCCCCATGAACCCCTATTGCCTGGGGGCCTCATGAGTTGTCAGTCTGCCCCTGGTTGCGGGGCCCCACGGCCGCGTGACTGGCAGCTTCTGACAGGATGTCTTATGATGCCCACTCTGAAGGAGGAGTGTCCCACCTGGCCATCAATCTCCTATAAGCAGGGAGGGAAGGTGCTAATGGCCCTCTAACCCGTTTTGAATTGTTTTCTCCTGCCTCCTGTGCACATTAGTTGAGGTCATGTGCAGATCTATGCACACTACAAACATCATAGTCCATAGTCCCTAGCCATCTTGGGAGGGAGCAAAACAGGGAAGCTATACATACAGTGGGACCATGGAGAATGAACAAAGAAGAAGGAATTCACAGGAGGATGAAAGCAATAGAAGGGACTTTTTTGAGTTAAAAATACATATTTCAATAGAATTTTTTTTTAAGCCAGAGTTTAATGTTAATGTAAGTATGGACCCTTAAGCCCCTCTCAGTGTCTTCCAGACCCACCATCAGCCATGGCGTGCTATGTGTGCCACATCACTCTTTTCCTTTGAGCGCCAATGGATGCACCAAGTCTTTCACAATCCTAGCAACACCCCTGATTAACAAATGGTATTCTTTACAAGCCAAATGTATCCACTCCAGGAATTGATATCTTGTTTTGTTTGAATCAGAAGAATAACACACAGTTTACAGGTTCTTTGAAACACAATGTCATTGTTCTAGAATATTTGATTACCTAATAAAAAGAACTTACATTAAGATAGAATAGACAAATGGTCTAAGATAATATGAAAAAATACCATAGATAGATAAATATTCACTGTCAACCTGATTATAGCGTACCTCATTAATGGGAGATATCTAATCTCTGCCTATCACAGGTTTGGTATATATCACTAGTAATCAATTCCGACTTCAATCCCTGAAATATTAATATTATTTTATAAGATTAAGTTACTAAAAAGGTGCATCTGCAGCCAGTGGCGTCACTAGTGTTGCTGTCACCTGGTGCTGTAAAACATGATGTCACCCCTCTCCCCAATTAATAGTTTCAGGCCTGCAGTGCACAGTCATGCTGTGCAGCCCACCCAGCACCCACCTAAATCCAGCCTTGGTACTAGGGTTATCACCTTTTCTTGAAGCTAAATCTGAACACTTTAGCTACACACACCATGGCAAACAGTGGGTGTGCGCAACTTGCTTTAACAGTGGGAGAGGCTTAAAATGGCGTGGTTAAACAAAGCATTCTTGTACCCATAATATATGCGTAGATTGGTGTGTGACAAGTAGGAATCTTCACAGACATGTAAAAACCTCAGCACAATCTTTTTTTTTTAAAGAAAAACTCTTTCATTACATAGGATTTTGTGTACACTGAACCAGACAGGTGGCAAGTCTGAGGCTACATTTACACTGGTAATTTAGGCCGGTGTGAATTATAATGGCAGGAATCTTCGGATTCCTGTTTTGGCTCTGGGTGGCTAGGTGCAGCCGCTGGTCCTGTTCACTATGACAGGTCACCAACAGCCACAGCTATTTGCTGTTTACTGCACAGCCAGCAATTACCTGCAGTGATCACTGCTGGATGCACACAAACTGGGTCCTGCAGTGATCACCACAAGTAATTGCTGACTGTGCAGAGAGTGAATGTCATAACGAAAGGAGTCAGCAACTGCACAGAGCCTCAGCAGGAATGACATGATTTCTGCCGTTACAATTTGCCCCAGCTCTAATTACTGGTGTTAATGTAGCCTAAATGTGAAAAGATTCATTCTGTGGTCCATGACACCAGAATACCAGCCCTGTGATTGGTGTCAGTGGTGTATTTTAGGTTTCGTGCTGCCCTAGGCAACACAAAAATTGTCTCCCCCCCCCCACGGAGAGACCATGACACCAACCAGCACCTCCTTCCCCCACAAAGAGAGCCTGATATTGACCAACAACACCCCAGCCCCCCACCTCCACCCAAGAGATCCTTTCACTACCACCACCCCCCATACACTCGCAACCCCCCACCCTGGGAAAGATAAGACACTCACCTTCACAGCTCCAGACATTCCCTGGAATAAGAGTCAGACTCTGCATACACCATCAAGTAGCCCACAGCCTCTCTCAGATCCCACCTGGTCCCCGTGCTGTGTGTGTCCCTTCTTCCATCCCTTCTTTTGGGGGGTAGTGCTGTCCTCCTGAAAAATGTTGCTGCCCCCCTAAAAAATGCCGCCCTAGGCAAATGCCTTGTTTGCCTTGTGGTCAATACACCCCTGATTGGTGTCAGTCAGTCTTCTCTGTACACAGCTCACACATATGACATGACAGCTGATTCCAGGAACAGTTAGCCTGTTGACCCCCTCATCACTTCACCGGTCTCTGAGCTAACTTACTGGGTTTGGCCGCCTTCCTGTTTCACCTCTCAGACATAGTCACTGCCTGGCACCCCTTAGGCTGCAGGTGTGAGCCCCACACAGTGTCAGACAGTGGCTGGCCTACTCTTCTAACTCACCATGTGGATGCTCTGCCTCCCAGTAAGTGGCACTCTCACAGACACTCTGTGATCTGGAATATATGCAATGATGGAGTGGGTTTTGGCAGGCATGGGAAGAGCAGGGCCAGCATAGGCAACGAGTCCATCATCAGGATGACACACAGCTTGGATTGAGGGGGAGGAGAGGCGGCCGAGGGTCCCCACACACAGACCGGCACAGGGCCTCCTACACTGTTATTAGGTGTCTGTATTATTGAGCACCATATTGCTGCCTGTGAGGACCCGGAGCTCTGGGCACCTGGTGTCACCCAGGTGCGGTCCGAACCCCCATAGCCACTGTCTACAGCATATTATAGAGTATGTTTCCTGTCACCCATTGTGGAAATTGCACCCTCCATGACCTTGAATTCTTTTTATCTTCTCCACCACTTTTTGCTACCATAATGAAATACAAAATTGATAATATAGTTGGGAATTTACATTTTTTTTACACTGCCCAAGGAATTAACATGAGAGATGTACAGTCATTTTTACAATTGCCCAGTGCACATGTAGGGACCTTGCTGCAAGCTGGAGTGTCCCTATTCCAAATGTAGTGGGCAGGTAAACTGTTGCTAGCCTGAGTTCTGATTGTTATTGTCCCTGTGTTTGTTGGGTTTTCCTAAGCATAGGACATTGTTTACTTCTGCTTGCTTCTGGGGAGTGTTCTCCAGTAGATACAATGTAATGGTTTATGCATATTTACCTCACTCTGACCAATCATTATGGGTTTTAATGCCAGTGATTTTGCCTGAGGAAGGAGAGAGAGATGCCAGAGATGTGGACCTGGCTGAGATAAGTGGGAGCCATTGGTTCTTGCTGTTGTCATCCAAGTCCTGTGACGAGGGAGTGAGGGACAGGGCCAAGCCTCTCTGTCTGTGTCAATGGACACAAGCAGTGGGGCTCAGGATTGAGCACACAGGTGTGCCACGATGGGAAGCAGCTTCCTATGGTGGCACACCAAAAAGAGGAGAAGCCAGGAGTTCTGGCATGGTACCAGACAAGAGGAAGATCGAGGCCGCTCTGTGCAATTCCATTGAGCAGGCAATTCCACCGAGCAGGCACAGTAAGTAGAAACCTGTGTATTTAAAAAAAAAAAATTTAAACTTTAGAATCACTTGAATTTTAATCTGCTTATGTTTGCCATGCCTGGCTCCTTTTCATTACATACCTTATGTAAGACCCAATGATGTCAGCACTGGGTCTCAGGTCCGGTCCCCTCCTCTCAGTGCAGGACCTGGAAGCAAGTGGAGTTTACTGTAGCAGTGCTGCCTTCTAGAGTGATTTCCAATTTTCACGGGGATCCCACAGGTGTGACACATACATACTTATATGGGTTCAAGCTGGATCAATGTAACTATAAAAAAATTGGCATGCTTAAACTTCAGTTGCAAAACTGGATTCCAGGGATTCACTAGTAGTCAGGGGCGGACTGACCATTTGGAAACTCTGGCACTCCCGAGGGCCCGGGGACAGTAGGGGGCCCCATAAGATTCCCCTGGTACCTTTTTCATAGCCTTTTTTGAGTTAGGGGATCAAGGACACAGGGGCCCCATGATCCCCTATTGCCCAGGGGCCCCATGAGCTGTCAGTCCGCCCCTGTTAGTAGTACACCACTAGAGAAGATTTCAGGCTATTGATGTAATGATATAATCAGAGAATGAGAATACCACAGTATTAGTATATCACACTTCAGTGGTGGTGATTAATTGTAAATAAGATGTAGAAGAAATATGATACACAAGAATTCACAAATATGCCTTTGCACTGCTTTCTTTTATTTAGCAAGCAAAATATTTGGAGCTTTTGAATTCCTTTGACTTGGTTTTCTGTGCGTTGTTGCATCCATAATTGAAGGTAACTAGAAGGCTGAATTTTGAAAATAGTCCAGGAGAGAGTACAAGATGAAGACTACAGAGAAGACCATCACCACCATACATCACAAGGCACTTCAGGGGTGGCTAGCAATTATCATGGTTGCTTATTTCCAGCGCCCACCAACACGGCCTTTTCCTGCCCCTTTTTTGCTGTAGGTGTGTAAAGAAGACATCATCAGTTAAAGATAATCTTTTTGTTTTCACATATACTAGCAAAACTGTGCTAAAGTTGGATTTATCACAAACCATGTTAAAGAGTCTTAGCAAGCATAAGGTGCTGGACATGAGTACAGAAGGTATAACAGCAGGCAGTATGTGCAGGAGAGAAATGCAGAGGGAATGATGGCAGGCAATATGCACAGGGGATTGGGTAGGGTATGACTGAGGGTGGTATGTACAGGAGAGGAGCGCAGGAGGTATGACAGTAGACCCAATGTGTGGGAGAGGTGGTGGGAAGAGATGGGTGTGACAGTGCATACATTGTAGAGATGGAGTGCTTGTGACATAGGGAAAAGGGAGGGTAGGATAGTATATATTACATGTTATTATTACGTGGTATGTTTTTAACAGGTAAAACTTTTTATTGAGATTCATAATAACATACAATATAATCACAGCACTTACCATACAGTTAGTACTTTCCAGATTCAGCAGAATTGCAATTACATTACATTGGAGTTTATTTACCAAAGTTGGAGAGCACAATATCTGGTACAACTCTGCATAGAAACCATCAAGCTTCCAGGTTTTATTGCCAAAGCTTAACTGAACAAGCTGAAGTTAGAAACTGATTGGCTAGCATGCATAGCTGCAGCAGATTCTGCGTGCACCAGTTTTAGAAAATCGACCCCATTGTTTGATCAAACAGTCTTATGTTGAAATACAAAGATCCCATACATTTCTTTATATGTGTCGAGGGGTATAGTGTTAGTTTTCATACCATTACAGGTACCATATGCACAATCTATATAGATTAGCATTCATGAGCTTATGTTTTCAAAGGGTTCACCTCTAGATAGGCCAAGTCAAAAAAGAAGACATGCTGGAGGCATAAAGCTAAACAGCTATAAAAGGAGGGGCGGTGAATGGGGCACACTGTAAGAAGGCCAGGTATACATTTTCAGATAGGAGAAAAAGAAATTCAACTATGCAGTTATTAAAGATTAGGTATCCAAACAGTTACAGTTAATTACCATGTATGTCAACCAGGTAGCCCAAAGTTTAGCACATTTTCATGTACAGTTCCTACTTTCATAGGTAGTTTGTAAATAGGCTCTAGAAACAGTCATTTGCCAGGCAGATAAGGTTGGAGGAGCAGAAAGTTTCTTGTTAACTAGAATCCCTCTTCTTGCATAGAAAACAAACAGTTTTAGGTGATGGCCTTTCTTCATCCCATCTATGATACCAAGGAGCAGCACTAAGAGATCCTTTCCAAAGGTCATTCCACTTATGTTAATATTGTCTACCACCTCATCCAGAAGGGTCGAATAAGGGGGCACATCCACACCATATGAATAAAAGTAACTGGCTCAACTTAACATTGTGTGCATAATGGACTAGTTGTTGTGTAGGTAGTAGGGAGCCTGTGTGGAGTATAGTAGACTCTATGTAGAAACTTTAGCTATCCTATCCTTTGCTGAAATCATATAAGGAAGATGACTTTGTTAGCAGCTATCCCAGTCATCATTTGTAAGACCAGCTATGGCTTCCTTCCATTTTTAGAAAATCTCAGGCAGTTTAGAGATATGGGAAAGTGAGAGTCGCAGGTATAGAGAAGATAGGGGCTTCCCGATCACGCTTGAAGTGAGGAATTTTGTCCCAACTGCATGTCTTGCTGAAATCAGAAAAACATCCAGTTGGGTAACAGTATAGGTAAAGGTAATAATGTCCTGACCAGTTGAGTAACAGTATAGGTTAGCCCAGACCTATGGATCCAATATCAATTTGATGTGAGAAAGGGTAGGGTTTCCCCAGAGAGGGGTATGTAAAGAGAAAGTGTCTTTGGTGCGATACTTCATTCTAGTTTTATAACATATTATAATAGTGATTTGCATGGGAAGAGTAATATTAGAATGAGACAAAAGGACTCTAAAAACCAGATGACTAAGTGTAACATATGATCACAGAATGGCCGCAGTATTTACGGGGTGTTTTTGCTACTAGAATACTAGCAATAGTGAATTGACATTTTCAGTATCGCATGCGATATGTGGTCATGTGACTGACTTAACTAATGCAATAAGCTTTAGTGAATTGTGCCCAGTAAGAGGCAAATCGTACATTAATCTGAAAAGTCTCTCAGAATATAACCAGCTGAATCTGCAATGTGGGGAATGCTAACTGAGACATCTGCCCCCTCGCTAACCAAACCAGTAATCTCATGTGTTTTCCGCCTTCTCAAATATTTTTCGTTTGCTGTAGTAGCTTTTTTTGTGGTAAAAGTATAGAGGAAGCAAATGTCTCTGTACACGTTTTCTAAAGAATCATACAGTAAGTTTGTGGATCCTGAGTTTGTGCATAGGTCATTTCTAGGGTACAGGCTTCCATTTTCACTCCACTAAGTGCATCCCTCACCACTTCTGTTGGGACAGAGTCAGGATTAAAAAGGTGTGTACACTGCAGCGTTAGTGTTGCCTCACATTGCGGTGAGGAAAAATAATGCTTTCTGCAGAGCTTGGCAGGCGTTGACACTTTGCAACTGTCTCCATTCATGTCTATTGAAACGCACAACAAGCGCGCCGTAAAAGTACTGTAAACACGCCTATGGCGTTTACTGCGGGTTTAAGGTGTAGCTGCATAGTGACAACAGAGATCATTTCCAATTTCAGCCTTTTTAAAAAAAAACACACATTACCGGGTGTGTTTGAGGAGCGTTGCCTGACGCGTCTTTGGATGCCCACGCAACATGTCCAAGACGCTCATTTGAAAGATCCCTTATACACATCTTGGTGTGTGTATCTACTCTGTTGCATTTGCAATACTGATATGACCGCGTGTGTCCCGACTAACATTAGCATGTAGAAATCCCTTACAGAAGCATACACAAGAAAAGAAAGTAAAATTGCTATGGGCAGTATGTGTGGGAGAGGAACTTTGCTATACAATCAGACATTGAGGAGGTGCTGCATTAGCAATGGGAGTGTAAAGCTGACTGTAAGCAGTACGCTTTCAATAATGTTGACAGGAAAAAGGCTCAAAGGAGAGCTGAATGAGTGTAGAAAGGATCCAGTACTTTTCTCTTTTTATAGTTCAGGAAGGATACTGGAGTACTTGGTATTGGAGGGACCATCCCTTATACTGGCATTGGTACAGCGAACAGAGGTGTGTATGCTGGGGACAGGATGCAGAGGAATAAAACACTGCTAGAACATAAAATTTAGCACTAGAGGCAGAATTCACCACGTGAGAGTTAAAGGGACGATTAGCTTTAATACTATATATATTAGTATTCTTATACAAACTATACATTTTTTGACAACCATACATACAGCATGCTGAGGTCTATTCCTTTAAATAACTTGAGACATTTGTTCATTTAATTAGGACAGTTCAAGTGACACTAAACCCTGGTTTTAAAAAAAATCCATTCAGGTATGGATTCTTAGCTTCCATCAAATTGCCAAATTCATTTAATTTGCAGCTGTGATCTGACTTCCTGTTAGAGGGTGTCTACATTCAATCTCTGTAGTCTCACTGTATGTAGGAACATAGTCACCCTCTCTTGCTTGCTCCGGAGATGGACTACAGACTAAGGGATGTACAGTAAATACCTAGAGCAGTGCACGACCACAACTAACCACTTCCTGGCCGCCCTATAGTAGATATACTGCTACAGGGCAGCAGGGGTGCGCAAAATCATGTATATACTGTATATGATGCTGCATTTCCGGGTAGGGGGCGCCACCGTTCGCGGTCCGCGGCTGTCAATCACCGTGTCCCAGCAGGTGATTACATGCCGGCGCCCGGGTGATTACCAAGGATCTCTGATGGGGAAAAGGGCTGCTTTGTTTACTAACAGTCCTCCTTCCTGTCGGCTCGGGCACACTGCTCTGGATGGCTGTGCACAGCGCATCCAATGCTCTGTGTCCGCTCTGCAGCAGTGGAGCGGACACAGACCTGTCATCCACTTGCTCAGCGGGATCAGCAGAGATCACCTCTTGGGGGGGAACTGGTGCTCTAGAGCACCGGACGCCACTGGATCTCTCACTGGACCAAATGTGGCGGACTCCTGACACCCCAACTGGGTATCTCTGCCAAGAAGTTGCTTCCCAGGCTCTTTGTCAGGGAAAGATCGCCGCGGTGCACGAATCTGCGCATGCGCGGGATCCTGAAAAGGCATACAGGCGTGCAGGCACTAGGACCAAGGCGCGAACGGCGGCACTTGCGGCTCATGGGGGCGCGCCTGTCACCAATGACGGCGCTGGGCGGGCTATTTAAACAGGCCACAGCAGGATCCAAATTGCCATATGGTCTAATTCCCTTGACTGAGATTCCTGACTCTGAGTTGTTTCCTGTTGCCGAACCCAGCCTGCTCCTGACTACTGTTGACCTTCTCCTGCCCTGACCCTTGGCTTGTCTCTGGATATTCTTCTGCCTGCTCCTGATCATTTTTGGACCTCCTGTTGCTAAACCTGGCCTGTGACCCGACTATCCACCTGCCTGCTGCTCTGGTCTGCTCTGCCTCCTCGGATACCAAACCCGGCTCGCCTGACTCCGCTACTTGCCTCACGGTGCATCCGCATCCAGTCATCCTGCACAGTTTCATCCGCATCCTGCTCTGGTCTGCTCTGCCTCTTCACGTCAGGCTCACTACTAAGGTACGTGACACTAGCTGTCTCCTCTACCACAGCTGGGCATACCTGGGGGCCGCGACCTGGTCTCAGCCTGCTCCAAGTCCATCCCCACCATCAGGGGCTCTGGTGAACAAGCAGACTGGGGCTTAGACCCCGCGCCCTAGGGAACCCCAAACTGTGGACCTATAGAGCTACCACCAGAGTCCGCGACACTCTTGAACATGAGACAAGTGGCTATAGCTGTATCTACTAGAGATGAGCGAAGTATTCAAAAATTCGATTCGACTGATTCGGCGAATTCGTGGAAAAATTTTGATTCGAGTCGAATATATTTCGCTGTGAATTTAACTTAAAAAA